TCAGAGACCAGAGCGGTGGCGTAGTCAAGGCGGCGGGTAGAGGCGAAGTCAGCGACAGCAGCGACAAGAGTGTCAAGGCACGGGACCGGAACAGACGGGTCGGTAACGAGAGAGGCAAGGACCCGAGGAACAAGAGGACGAGCGGCACGAAGGTAGTCAGACAGCGGGGGGGGTGCAACAACAAGGGAGGACGGAGGAGGCGACGGCAGAAGGGGAGGGCGAGACGCGTGGGAACGAAGCAACATAGGGTGGGAGCGCAAGACAGGGGAGGTAGGACGAGCACGGGAGGGGCGGTGAGACCAGGCGTGCGACGGAGGAGTCGGGTCAGGAGACAGGGGAGGGGACACAGGAGGGGAACGAGGGGGGAGACGAGCCGGGGACGAGTCTGGCGGAGGAAAAAGAGGGCCGTAGACAGGAAGAGGAGGAGACGGTGGGGGAGGAACCGACGCAGGGTCGGGGGACGGAAGGCCGAGCAGGCGAAGGGCGGACACCGGCGAGGACTGCTGCTGCGGCAGCACAACGGCGACACCTGGACCGCAAGCTGCTCCTCGGCTACCACCAGCACTCTCCACACCCGCACCCCCAGAGGGACCACCCCAAGGGCGACCGGGACGAGCACCCCCAGAGTCAGCGAACGGGTGCTGCGACGGCGGCGGCGGCGGCGGCGGCAGCGACAACGACGGCTGCAGCGGCGGCAGAGGCGGTGGAGGAGGGGACTGGGAAGGGGACGCCAGGGGAGGGGCGGCCGGCGAGGACTGCACAGGAGGGCCACCAGAGTCAGAAGACTCTCCAGCCGGGTCCACCGACGGAAGGGGGGTGACGTGGGACACACCAGAGGGGGCGGGACGGGGAGGAGGAGGAGGAGGGGCAGGGACTACCGGGGAAGGAGTGACCAGGAACAGGGGGGGGTAACCGGGGGACCACGGTGGGGGAAGCGACGGTAGTAGGAGACGGACTCGTCAAAGGTGACGTCACGAGAGTGAAAGAAGCGGTGAGACGGCGGGTGGTAAAAGTGCCAGTCGGACGCGTCAAGGGGAAAACCGAGGAAGACGCAGGGAAGGGTGCGGGCAGTGAGCTTGTCCGTGCCGGAGGCACGGACGTGAGCAAGGCAGCCCCAGACGTGGAACGCAGACGCGTCACCAGGAGACCCAGTCCAAAGACGGGTCGGCGAAACCTGCGACTGCTGAGGGTGCGGCCACAAGTTAAGCTGGTGAGAAGCGTAGCGCACAGCGAACGGCCACAGAAAATGGGGTGCACCGGCATGGATCATGGAGGTGCGAGCCACCTCCATGACCAAACCGATGCGTCGCTCAGCGACCCCATTCTGCTGTGGGGAGTCCGGTAGGGTGAACGTCTGGGTGATGCCCTCCGCACGACAGAAGCGACCAAGGATACCTGAGGCAAACTCGCCACCACGGTCTGAGTGAAGACGCAGGACAGGGAGACCGCGGTGGACACGCGCAGAGACAAGCCAGGGGATGAGAGCGCCAGGCACGTCGGCCTTGCGCTCCAGGGGAAAGACTGTGGTGTAACGAGTGAAGTCGTCGACGAGCACAAGGAAGTAGCGCTCTCGACGCGGCCCAGGGACGGGGGTGGGGCCCCAGACGTCCAGGTGCAGGGTCTGCAGCGGCGCAGAGGTAGGGGGAAACGAGGAGGAGTGAGGGGCACGGCGAAGCCGACCCTCGACACAAGGCGTGCAAGGGGGGGCTGGGGAGGAGGGAAACGCGGGGAGAGAACCTGGGAGACCAAGGACAAGACCGTGCTGGGACATGTGACGCAGACGCGGGAGCGCAGGGTGACCTAGGCGGTGGTGCCAGAGGAGCGTTGGGTGAGTGAGGGACCGACAGGAGCAGGCAGCAGCAACCTGAGTAGACGCAGCCACCTGAGGGGCGCCCAGCCGGGGGGGTCACGGTGTCCAGAGTGAACAGGCCGGACACCGGGTCCCGGGGGAACGTGGACAGGGGGCACCGGTGGCGGCCTCGGTACAGACAGCATACCGCTCGTGACAGGGAACGTAGTGGTGACGCCAAGGTCCGGAGGCAGCCGACACCAACTAGGTTCCTGGAGAACGAGAGGATATGCAGACCTGTAAGAGAGCCCGAAGGAACCGCCGGGCAGGGAAGGGTGGTGGAACTGCGGGCGACTACCGGACCGCCGGAGGGGTCAGCAAGAGAAACGGCAGCAGGAACAGGAAGCGGCGTCAGGGTGGTGGAGTCGCGGAAGAAACACCGAGAAGCGCCAGAGTCCAAGGTGAACGAAAGCGAAGCAGAGGCGGCTGGCGACGGAACGACGGCGGAAGCACCAAGACTACACAAAGCAGAGGATCCTACGCCTGACGCAGCAGGGGAGGCTACTCTAGGCACACCTACACAAGGCAACAGTGAGTAATAAGCTGGAAGCACACTAGAGTCATCAGCATACATCACATGCAGAGCGGAAACAATGGCATCCATGTCCATATCAAAGATCTGAATCTTACGACTAAGCAAACTGTGCCAGTCCGGGAGGTCTGGCGACGGGCCGAAGCGCTGACGAAAGAGGTCGTCCAGGCGACGAAAACAGCGGGGAGTGGAGTGACCGATCTTACCGCAAACGAAGCCGCGGCGAGGACCGGTCTGGATCTGGTACTGACAGCACCCGCCACCAGAGCTACCACTCGACACACCACCACGCGCCCGGCCACCGCCAGCGCCGGGCCACCCGGGCGGGAGGACACTCGGCTGCCGCGTCTGCGTCGGCTGCTGTGGCTGCGGCGAAGGCTGCGACTGCGGCGGCTGCTGCAACTGCAGGGGCGGCGGCTCAGCCAGACTGGGCAGGGTCCCCTCGTCCGCTCTAGCACCAGACGACCCGACCCCACCACTACCCCCTCCCGCACCCCCGCCTCCGCCGCGCCCAGCCTTGGGGCGGCGGCCCTTCCCCGAACGAGACTGCGCTGCAGCAGCGGTCTCAGCCACTGCGACAGAGCCGTCGGAGAAGGTACACTGGGCGGGGGCACAACCCTGAAAGATAGGGACCGGCACGACACCGCTCGCCTGGGCGATGGAGCGGTGACGGGTCTCTATCACAGTCAGGGTGTCTACAAAGTCAGTGAGGGTGAGATCGGCGGGGTGAATGCTAAGGAAATGGTCGCGGGCGACAGCAAGGCGGTCAGGGAGGCGGGTGGCAAGCAGGTAGAGGGTAGAGGTAATGGGCGGCTGGTGGGCTCTAAGCTGTGCGTCAGTGCAGGCGGCGCGCCAGGTCTCCTCTATCGAGCGCAGGTGGGTAGCGAGGTCAGAGACAGTGGGGAAAGATGCAAGGTCAGGAAAGAGCATCGGGAGGATCAGGCGACCCACCGAGGCAGCCGGAGGGGTGGAATAGCGCTGGATCACAGCATCTAAGTATGCCTGAGCAGTAGTGAGGGACCTAAAGCGAGGACGCTCGGATGGGGGGAGGGCGTTGCTAATGGCAAGCTGGGCGACAGCATCGCGAGAAAGCCAGACAGAGGCGCGCACGGGCAGTGGCAGCAGTAGACTGACGCTCAGTGGGTGTGGGGTCAGCGGGCAGAATAGCAGGGGGTCTGGGCAGGGGAGCGTACCGTCAAGGTGTGCGGAAAGCGGTTCACCATCCTGCCGCTGGCCAGTGAGTTGGCGGCGGAGGTCGGCAAGCCACGCCTCGAACTCTAGGGGCTGACCTTCAGCGTCGAAGCGAAGCTCCGCCGCCATCAGGAACAGTCCAGTGCGGTGCAGGGCAGTGCAGCTAGGTGGGGTGCGGTGCAGTGCGGTACAGTGCGGTGCATGCGGTACAGTGCGGTGCAGTGCGGTACAGTGCGGTGCAGTGCGGTACAGTGCGGTGCAGTGCGGTGTAGTGCGGTGCCAGGCAGTACAGTGTGATGCGAGGCGGCACGGAGCAGGGCGGGGTGGGGGGGAACCGTACCAGTGAGGAGGACGGGGCGGGGCTGGCCCGACGGGGCCGGGCGGGCGCGACGGGCCGGGCTGGTGCGACAGGGCCGGGACGGGGCGACGGGCCGAGCGGGCGCGACGGGGCCGGGCTGGGGCGACGGGGCCGGGCGGTGCGGCAGGGCCGGGCCGGTGCGACGGGGCCGGGCGAGCGGGACGGCGGCCGGGCGGGTGCGACGGGGCCGGCGGCTGCGACGGGCCGGGCAGGGTGCGACGGGCCGGGGGCGACGGGCGGCAGGGTGCGACGGGCAGCGGCTGCGACGGGCGGGGGGCCGGGCAGGGGCTGCGACCGGGGGGGCGGGGCCGGGCGGGTGCGACGGCGCCGGGCCGGGCGCGACGGGCCGGGCGGCTGCGACGGGGTCGGGCAGGGCGACGGGACCGGGGGGGGTACGACGCGGCCCAGGAGGGGCGCTACGGGGCCCAGGAGGGGCACGACGGGGGCCCAGGAGAGGCGCTACAGGGGCCCAGGAGGGGCGCAACGGGGCCCAGGAGGGGCGCGACGAGGCCCAGGAGGGGCGCTAAGGGGCCTAGGAGGGGCGCGACGGGGCCTGGGAGGGGCGCGACGGGGCCCAGGAGGGGCGCTACAGGGCCCAGGGAGGGCGCGACGGGGCCCAGGAGGGGCGCTACGGGGCCCAGGAGGGGCGCGACGGGGCCCAGTAGGGGCGCTACGGAGCCCAGGAGGGGCGCGACGGGGCCTGGGAGGAGGCGACGAGGCCCAGGAGAGGCGCTACGGGGCCCAGGAGGGGCGCTACGGGGCCTGGGAGGAGCGCGACGGGGCCCAGGAGGGGCGCTAGGGGGCTTGGGAGGGGCGCGACGGGGCCTGGGAGGGGCGCGACGGGGCCTGGGAGGGGCGCTACGGGGCCCAGGAGGGGCGCTATGAAGGCCCAGGAGGGGCGCCAGGGGGGTCAGGGGAGGGGCGCGACGGGGCCCAGTGAGGGGCGCGACGGGGCTAGGGGGGGTCGCGACTGGGCTAGGGCTAGAGGGGTGAGCGGAAGCGATAGGTGGGGGGGGGATCCTACCTACGTCGTGATACCATATCAGAATTGAAAATTGAATGATAGATAGAGTGAGAGTACACAAAGATATACCGAAGTGTTGTACTCTCTAAGAGGCGACCCTATACAGTCTATACAAACATGACAAATACACATGTTTGACAAATGCAACCCCGAAAGCGGGTGCTCTCCTAAATTCACCCTATCATAAGCTCCCCCGCATAAACCACCCGCGGAGTGACTATTTCGACGGGTGTTATATACGGGGGATTACGGTTTATAATATATTTAAGTTGACACTACTACCGTACCATGTAAGAATCTGGAATGTGTCACCTTTTCCATTGCATTTTCTCTCACCCAGCAATCCCTTGCATTTTTTCCATTGTATCGCTTCAGTCATCCGCTGCATTTTTCTCTCACCCACCAGTCATCCACTTCCATGATTATTCGCATGTCCATCTGCTCCAGCTCATCGGCTGACATGGCAGCAGCAGCAGCGTCCACGTCAGCATTGAAAGCTGCCATTTCAGCAATACCATCCGATGCTGAGTCAGCTGTGGGCACAGGAGCAGGGGGAGCAGCAGTAGCAGTGGAGTGGTAGGGTGCAGTCTTCTTTATAAGGCCTTGGAGCAGATCATGTAGCTGTTGATCGATTGTGGCACAGGGAAAATCGGCAGCTGAGAGGTGTCTAACTTTGTATCGAGTATGTGGAGTTAGAGCGGGCTGACACTCGGCTAGGCGTGGGGGTGCTGAACTGCACCGTTTTTCCTGGGTGGAGTGATTCCTTGATCCACAATCCTCGTTACTGGCAATCCGCAGTTCGCTACAAGCTGTGTCACGGAGACATCCCTCCTGCCCTTCATTGCTGCTGCAGACAACACGCCGGCGGTGCTCCTGCCGTTTCTGGCTCAAGTCGGATTCTCCCGATTCAAATCCAATCTGACGTCAATCAAATCTTCATAACTTCCAGGAAAGAGTTCCCCAGTCACCAGGCGCTCCGCATCGCCCCACGCTCGGTCCAGATCCTCGCAGATATCAAGATCTTCATCGACCGGCTCCCATTCCGCTACGGGTCGTCCTTCCTCCGGCCAAGTCGGCCCTCGTGATGGCGCCGCCGCGGCGGTGCGCCGGATCCTAACGGAAGTCCGTTTACGTCAGCTCCTCCCGTCCAAAATGCCGCCGTTTGTTGACAGCTTCCGGAGATACCTTTACCGCTAGTACCGGCATCACCGGCAATTTCAAGGCGTGGAAAACCAGGAAAGCCTGCCGGCAGAAGTGACTCCGTACGAAATTGCGAATCGAGGCGCCTTAGCGCCTCAGCGTCGAGGTTACCCGCCGCCGCCGCCGCTGCGGCTAGTCGGAGGAGTTGCAACGAAGGGTACGACGCGAGATTGCCGCCTCGGAGGCGGTAGTAGCCGTCGAAAAGCGCGGCGACGGCTTGCCGGAAATGCCGAGAATGAAGATCGGCGGGGTCCATGCTCCTATTACTAGGAACGCGTATGTGTCAGTAGTAGGGTCAACTTGAAGCAAACAAGACGGTCTTGGACGGAAAGATGGGGTTTTGAATTGAAGTGCGAGCTTGGAAAAACATGTGACGGTAGACGCACACAGTTGTGTGCAATGAGATCCTATATGATTGTGGAAACATCGCTGGCAGCACGCGGACCAACGAGGTAGGAAATCGCACAGCTGAAGTCACGGTGGTCGATGGGGGACTAGGGGCGGGTGTGGGGAACGAATGAGAGAAAGAATGCCAATTCGCCTTGGATGGGCTGGCCATTGGTCAAGCAAATGAGGGCGCGTTCCGCGCTCGGAGCAAGCCTCGAGGGAGAACTCTGGGCATCAGTTATAAGGACCGGATGTCCCAAATTTCATGCCCGGAAGCCCACTTCGGGGATGCCCCGAGAGCGCGGAGCGCGCCCTAGAGTCGTGACGTGACTCCTTCCTGAGGCGACTGTACAGTGTCTGGATGATGGAAGGCAGGAATTGAAACTGCTGCGGGCCAGCATAGCGGGAGAGCTACTGATTGGATAACGGTAGGACCATGAACGGAGGGCTATGATTCCTCCACGGCGCACTCCATCGACTGCAAATGACGTTGTTGTCGCTAATCGGGCAGAGAACATGGATGTGGTGAAAGGGAAAGAATGCCTTTGTTGGGTATTATTAAGCCACACTGCCTATTTTACGTTACGCTTTAGCTAAATACTGTTATATAGCAACCCAACATCGCACCTGCCATTCCTCATCAACGACGGAAAGATTTTTCAGCCGACGATTTCGCTTGCCGAATTCAGCGTTCGTCTAACATCTGTCCGCACGAGAGGCATAGGTTGGGACCCCCAGATTCGAGGAAGCTGGATTCCGCCAAGTTGGCAGTGGCACTTGTCACCCGTGCGTTACAGCATGCCTGAGGTGATAGGACCAGGGCTCTCGGTTCAAGGGTAAACATCCGGAATGTCAGGTACATTCAAGGTCGTTTCCGCTGAAATCCTGATTTTGAGGGTTTCGTATCTCCAAACCTCCTGACTGATTCTTGAAGTTTTCGAGGAAAACCCTGACCAATCCGGATTTCGCGAAAAATTATCAGGACCATCCGACTGGCATGGAAAATCACCCGTGCTGCAACCCCACCCCCCCCCCCCCCCCCCCCCGTTCCTTCGCAACCCCGACCAATTTTCCACGCAATCTGAAGGTGAACCCGTGGAAACTTTCACAACTACAGAAGTGAAGGGCTGTCAGGCTTATCACAACCCCTTAATATCACCTTAGCCAGGTTGCGCACTGTCCCTCAAAGTTGTATGCATTTCTGTCGTGCTTAAGGAATGTGTCGAACTTGGTGTGGTGGTGAGGGACAGCAGCAGCAAATGTGTTTCTGTATTCTTCATCAATTCTTCCATCGATGTCCTTCCTGCTTGTACTTCAAGTGCCCACAGGTCCCACTGTTCTGAAGGGAGTCCAAACACAATACTCTGGATTTCATATTGAAACTTCAAAGAAATCCTGAAATAAGAGAGATTTTCCAGGGAATGCTGAATTTCAAGATCTTTAGTGACGCGAATCCTGAGACCGCTGAGTCTTGAAAACGAAAAATTAGCACTGGATAGGGACCAAGCCCATAATTCAATTTAGCTGCCCAAAATACCCAAACTACCAGCAACCACTTGACAAAGTAAAAGTATAGTGGATCTGGAAATGTGAAGCATTCGACGTTATCTTGGTTCCGGACGAAAAAGTTTTGCGGAGCTTTCTACTTCCTCACGTGTAGCATGGAAACATAATGAGCAAATGTCTAGCTCACTCACCTCAGCCGTTGGCAGAAGTCAACGATACACCAAACCCGCGCCATTATCTCACCCAGCAACTTCTCAAGCCGTGCTAACTTGCGCAGACGACGACTACAATGACACATACGACAAGGCTAGTTGCACAATCGAGAAGGCTATGGCGGAATGAGAAAATAGCGCGGGATTAAGTGTACAGCCAAATTCTACCTACGTCATTTTGCGCATGTGCGGCTGTATGGCATTGTATAGGCATGCACTCATCTGCCCATACAGGGGCTTGTCGACTTCTAGCTGTTGACTACAAGCGCATTGTTCGGGCCGGTGGGAAAAAATGTTCCTTGAGGTACAAACGAAGCTCGTCAGAGTCGCACAAGATTTAAGGGTGTTGGGGATTCAATCTCTCAAGTATTTCGCATACCCTCGCACGGGAAAATGAGGCTTTCGCACGAGCAGACGGCGAAATGGGTGACTATTTGTAGGGGGGGCGGGGGGGGGCTTGCGTCGCGATGTTTGTTGCTAGTGTGTGACTCTTGTAAAGTGATCAGGCAACAGCACTGCACAATTCCGTTGCGACGAAACCTCGTCGGCAACGACCTGTCCCTTGCTATTTGTTGGTTGCAGACGCAATTATGAGTGACTCAAACGGATCTCCCATTGCCCGTATATTGGGGGTTTGAAAAATGATTATGATTGGGCACTAGGTTGAGCTGGCGATAAGTTGGGCATCGTCTGTATGGTTCATTAGATACGTGCACCGTTATTAGTATGTCTTATCTAAAACGGATTTACATTGTTGGGATAGCATTGCATAGAATCGTATTAGATTTTAACCATTCAAATCCCAAACCAATATAATGCTTGAAAATTTCTGGCATAGAAACTATCTATAAGCTCACTTTAAGAATTATAAAGAAACGCTGGAATGACCAAATTTGAAACGCTGGAATCTTCCACTCCCCTAATTTGAATCAGATTAAACTTGGATCAGAAGAAACGTTTAGTACTGTGTGGTGCCAGTATTTGTATTACTTTTGGTTACACACGTTTTTTTTTTCTGTATTGTTCTATATAGGAATCTGCCATTCTATAAATTGTATGGGCGTAATATCAAACATATTTGTATATATTATAATAAGCTAGATAGGTGCATGCTTTTAAAAGGTACAACCCCTGGAACAAAATCAACATGTTTGCCTCATTTTAGTCACTTTTTCTACTCTGAGGTGGTATTATACGCTAGGATAGGTCCTCCCCGCCCACCCGCGCTTCCGCTCTTGCCCTAGCCCTAGGCGTCCGTCCCTAGCTGCCCCTTAGCGCCCCGTTGGCACCTGTGCGCCCACCAGCCCGTTAGCACCCTTCCGGCCCCGTTAGCGCCTCGTCGGCCCGTGCGCCTATCGTGACACTGGGATAACCCTGTCGATCCTTTCTCTATCTCTATGGAGCCTAACCCTCCTGATGACATCCTATTTTGTCCAAGTAGTTAGGACTGGTGACTTTGTGGCTGCGCCCCCTCTGGCCCGTTAGCACCCTGCCGGCCCCGTTAGCGCCCTCTGGCCACTTAGCGCCCCGCCGGCCTGTTAACGCCCTGCCGGCCCCATTCACGCCCGCTAGCCCGTACGCCCCGTTGGCCCCGTTAGCGCCCCGTGCGCCCTCTGGCCCCCACTCGCCCCGTCGGCCCGTTAGCGCCCTCCCGGCCCCGTTAGCGCCCCGTAAACCCCGTGCGCCCCTCTGACCCTGCTAGCCCCGCCGGCCCGTTAGCGCCCTACCGGCTCCGTTAGCACCCCGTCGGCCCCGTGCGCCCTATTAGCCCTGCTCGCCCCGCCGGCCCGATAGCGCCCTGCCGGCCCGTGAGTGCCCTGACGGCCCCGTTCGCGCCTCGTCGGCCTCGTACGCCCCTTAGGCCCTACTCGCCCCACCGGCCCGTTAGTGCCCTGCCGGCCCGTTCGCGCCCTCCCGGCCCCATTAGCGCCCGTCGGTCCTGTGCGCCCCCCTGGCCCTACTCGCCCCGTCGGCCTATTAGCGCCCTGCCGGCCCCGTTAGCGCCCTACCGGCCTCGTAAGCGCCCCGTCGGCCCTGTGCGCCCCGTCGGCCCTCGCCAGCCGGCCGGCTAGCCCGCCGGCTCCAGCGTAGCCGGCCCCCGCTATAGCGGTCAGCCGCCGTGCCGTTGAGTCGGAGCGTCGACCCACTGATTCTGGCTCCCTTCAGCGCCGGCTCCCCTGCCGGCTGTCTCCACCGCTCTTCACCGCACTCACCGTACTACACCGCACTCCACCGCACTACACCGCACTCCACCACTCTCCACCGCACTCCACCGCACTCCACCGCTCTTCACCGCACTCCACCACTCTCCACCATACTCCACCACTCTCCACCGCTTCCTCCGCCTGTCCTCCTCACCCCTGTCAGCGGCCGTCAGCAGCTGCGGCAGCGGCGATGGCAGGTTCACATCTCCGACTGGATGTAGAGGATCGGGCGCTTGACTTTGAGGCGTGGCTGGACGACCTTCGGCGTCACCTTATAGTCAGCGTCAGTACGGTCACTTCTTGGCTATTCATGTCGATGGCCTGCTTCCCCGCCCCTGTGCACTTGTTGCCCTCCTTGATGGCTCCACCACTGCTGAGCATGAGGCATTTTCTGCTGCTGTGCTTGCTCGTGCCATCTGAGACTCGCGCGACGCAGTAGCACAGCTTGCTATTAGCCATGTGCTCCTGCTATCTGAGCGCCCTCGCTTTACCACTGTCGCGAACGCCCAGGCTTTCTTAGATGCTGTCATTGCACGCTATTCTATCCTACCATTGCCTCTGCTACTCGTCTGATCCTTCCCATGCTATTCCCTGATCTTGCGTCCTTCCCCACTGTCGCCGACTTTGCCACGCACCTCCTCGCGCCATCGTCTCACGTCTGGTCTCGTCGTCCCTCCCGTGCTCGTCCTGTTTCCCTGTTCCGTGCTCTCACCCCTATGTTGCTTCGTTTCCATGCGTCTCACCTTCCCCTCCTCCCATCGCCTCCTCCATCGTCGCTTGTCGTCGCTTCGTCTCCTCTGTCCGACTATATTCGTGTTGCTCGTCCTCTTCTTCCTCCGGTCCTTGCCTCTCTCGTTACCAACCCATCTGTTCCTGTCTCGAGTCTGTCCGCGCTTGTCGCTGTAGTCACTGACTTCGCCTCTACCACCGCCTTCACTACGCCACCACTCTGGTCTCTGACCTTGTCCGTCCTCTATCCGTCGGGGGTGCTCCTGCCCTTGGCAGTGACGTCCTAGAGGATTGACAGTACGAGCTTGCTTTCCTGTCCGAGTCCGCGCCTCATCTC